CCGTAATTTGAATTTGCCAGAATCCAGATTTCATATCAAATTTTGAAAATAGTTGCTCTTCATAAAGTCAATTAAGTAAATCCCTCTTATTAGGGATTGGATATCTAATCCATCTCAAGGCTTTATTTAACGGCTTATAATTAATAACAAGTGTTGGTACTCCTCTGTCTCTTTTAGAGGCTTTTTCAACATAAAATGCTGGACAACTCTAAAGTGAATAAGAACTTCTAATTAGTTTCTTATCAAGAAGATCTTGGATTTCTTTTTTGCAAATTTCCAAGAGACGACTATTAATTTGAATAGGCATAGATTTGGTAGGGATGAATTTTTCATTGAAATCAGGTTCATAAGGTAATTCGACAATACGTCTTTTTCTTTCCCAAAAAGCATTTGAGATTTCAGCACAGACCTCCTTTTCAAGTTTATTTTTAAATTGTACAATTTTCTCTTGGATCAAGAGGATGTTAACTTTTTCTTGTATTTGTTTGGTTAAAATCTCTTGTTTAAGAGTATGGAACAAATATTCTTTATTTCTTTTTAAAACCATAACTTGATTAATTTTTTTTAATTTTGGTTTGTCAATAAATTCAAACTTAACTTTATGACCTTGGATCTCATATTTAATTCCCGAGGAGTCTAAAGCTTTTATGGGATAAAGAAGACTAATAAAAGGAGTCCCTAAAGTTATTTCTTGAGCTTGTCCTTTTACCATAATAAATGGCATCAAGAAACAAGCTCCGTTGTTGCAACGGTGGCTTCAGAAAGCTTGTAATTGATTAAAAGTCTTTTGCCATTAGCAGTATTTAAGACTTGGGTGGTCTTATCAAAGAACCTTGATGGAACAAGTCATTCGTTAATACAATTGAGATCAACACCTTAATCAATAAGGGCAGTAGCTAAAAAATTGTATTCCTTGAAGACGGCAATTGTAACTTTGGTATGCCATTTTTTAGTAATAACTTTATGTTAATATAATTTAGTTGCTTAAGATCAATTTTCTCAATTATGTTAATAGCCTCATCTTGATTTTGTATATTTTCGAATTCATTTATTAAATTCTCAGGTGATTGGAGATTTTCTGAACCGGAAGTTTCAAGCAGTAATTCTGTCGTTAAGAGCTTGTAATTATTCTTTTAAAATTCTTATTTCAAAACCTCAGCTCAAAAATAACAGTCTCCCCTTTAGAGATTACTTATTTTTTATTAATCCTATCGATTATATGTTTGAGATCATAAGTAGGTTTAAAGACTTGACTTTCAGTCTTTTCTTTAGCAAGGTATTTATGAGAACATCTCTTTTTTCAAGGGGGAACGATTTTGTCAATTATATCTAAGACCAAATTTTGTTCTTCAGAAAGTACATTGAGGCTAAGCCCTTGCATTTCTAACAGGGCTTTGTAATGATCACATTTACAGTCTTCTTTAGCCTCACTAGTATTGGAAGTTTCAGTGTTGATTCTAAAACTTCATCTTTTGAGTCTGTTTCATATATGGATAACTCTTCATCAAAAGAGTCTCCTAGTAGGAGAATTTACTCTAACTGTCTTTTGAGTCTTTCATCAGAAATTTTATTGATTTTTTGTTTTGTCCTACACCTATTTGCAAAATATCCATAACGCTATTTTTCCTTTGGGCTTCCTACTTATGGGTTCAGAATCTTCTTTGTTTGATTTGAACATTTTTTTTTTTTGTTTTCTATAATACTTTATGTTTTTCTTATAGTCGCCTCTTTTAGAGTGACCCTTATATTTTTTGGAGTGAGTTTTTTCAAAAAAGGGGTAATAACAGAATGGTTCACAAAAGTCCCCCATTTATCTTTTTCCAGTGATCTTTTGTTTTTCAAGCTGTCTCTTAAGCTTGAGGTTAGTACAAAGTTCTAAGCCGGTGGCGCAAATCTCATTATCAAGTTGGCCTAGAATATAATTCTCATAGGGGATTTCTTTTCCTCCATTAGTATTTTTAAGCTTGATTTTAACCTTGTTTCTGAATAGAGCAAGGAGTCCATTTAAGAATTGAGACTTCCAATGTATATCTCTGGCATCATTTCTGGTGAGTAATTGGGTATGAAAAACATCATTATACCATCTATAATGAGAGAGATCAGGACATATGAGATTCTCTAAAAGTTCTCTGGTTCTTTCATTCCAGACAGAGGTATCTCCAATGAAATGTAGAGCAATAGTATAAATTAATGTATTGACATAGTCATCATCTTGTGAAGGTATTTCTTGTTTGACACCTTGGTTATAGACGGTGGTAAGGGTCTGTTTTTTAACACTTAAAACGATATTTCTCTCATCATTCCTTAGGTAGAAGTCCCACCATCCTTTAAGTTGCCATGTAAACCCATTGATTATGGATCTAGCAATGTCGGGGTCTCTATTTCCATGGTTAGCAGATGCTTGAGCATACATAATCATATGCTTGATTAAATTCATCTTCTGATATGCATCTTTGAAGTAGCAGTAGGCCTAGTTTTTGTTCCATAGTTTATCCCATTAATCTGGTCAGGTTGATCAGGATTCCTAAACATACCCTAAAGTTTAAGGATTTCTTCATTGCTAATATCTTCAAGCATGTTTGCAATTGAATCTTTATCTTTATTTGTGTTGCTCTTTTTATTACTTATTTCAATAGTAGCAAGCCTGTTAACTAATTCATCAAAGAATTCATTCTTTTTTTTGAGAGTTAGTCAAAGTTTAAAGGTTTTATTAGAAAGAAGAATAACAGGTTTAAACAGGACGGGTTTAAATTTATCCTTTTCATCAGGAGGTTGGATTTGTGTTGAGGTAGAGAGCCTATTATTTAGGCTTTCTTCTATCCTTGTGGTCTGTTGGCCTATATTATGTAGAAATAGATTAGTATAATTATTTTGTTCAATTAGGTAGTTAAGGCTTTCTAAATTTATGTGTCTTTGTAATATTCCATCTTCTTTAGGGATATAGGTTTGTGTATAAGGAATATCCCTAGATTTAGGTAAATCCACAACTGCTTCAAGAGGATGAATACTTTTTTTATCTCCATTTGGAGTATTGTAAGTCTTATATATTATTGTAAGGACGGAAATAGCTGCAGAATTCCTATTTTTAGGAACATACAAGTTATCATGAAATTTATTATTTTTTGAATCCATATAATATTTTAACCAGGTAAAGAACCTTATATTAATTTTATTCTTTATCATTGTTCTGATATATTCGTCATCAATAAATTTCTTAAGGGGTTTACTATGTTTAAGAAACCACTCTCTATTTTCTCTATTTTCCTCAGAGTAAAAATCTTGTCTTAAGAGTTTGTAGTTGATTTCAAAATTTTTAATTTCAAGCATATTAACAGATCCTTCAGGGATATTGGAACTGCACCCTATATCAGAAAAAGTTGGTCCTTGAGAGCCATCAAAATCTTTATCATTCTGTGGTGAAAGGTTTTCTGCCTTATAGGTCAGCTGAACAATTTGTTGATTATTAAGCTGATCAAGCCCTTCTATGACCACATCCTTACTATTATTTGTTTCTTTTTCAGTTTCTGTCTATAGTGCAGAAGAGGAAGAAATTCTAGGAGGTTCAACCATCCTAGATGATTCAGAACTAAAGGACATTCTTGGAGGCTGCCTAGGGTTCCTGTTTTGATTAAGGAAAGTTCTAAAGAGGGGAGAGAATTGAATTTCTATTTTCCCTTCAGCGTAATGAGTTATTTAGCTGATTTCCTGATTTTGAACAGGCTTAGGAGGGACATGGTAAGGTCCACCTTTCAGGTAGATTCACCTGATCCCATGAAATTGTTCTAGAGATAATCAAATTAGATTTTTCAACATTAGTTTGGAAAAGAGTAGTCTGGCCCTTAGAGTCAATTTTCATAACATTAGGACAGATAGTGGTCATGGCTTTATGTCAGACTCTATAGGTAACATCAATATTTTGTGACCCAGCAAGCATGTCAGAACCATTAGTTAAAAGGTTAAGAGTAAGGACTTTCAAAATATGATGGTCAATCAAAGAATAGAGAAACTTGGGAAGCAGTTAAAATAAACTGGTCCCTCACATAGACTAGATTCAATAGCTCCTAATAAGGAATCCATAAATTGTCTATGCCTACTGTCTCTTAAGCACAGGAAGATAGCAGTTTGAAGCTCAGTTCTGGTTAAAGGTCTAATACCAACTTGAACAAGACCAATATGAAGATAATTATATTTTTTTTTTCTAAATTCTTCAATACGATTCTTGTTTAACAAATTTATGGTCGTTTCAGAATTTAAGATAGATTTGGTTTATTCTTCAGTTTTGATTGCATAATCACTTCTGAATTCGAATGTTTCTTTACTATATATCTCAGAAGTAGAGACTTTAGGGATATTCGAATTGTTTAAATCTTTTTCAATGTTGGCAATAACAATTTCTTCAAAATTTCTTACTGTTCTACCAGATGAACTAGTTTTAGCATCAGACCTTTGAGAGCCGAGTCTGAAAAGTCCTGCTATCGAGTCAATAATGTAATTACGCACTCGAGTCAACTGAGTCAATGAAATATTAGCCTGTCTTCATCACAGTTCACGACTTTGATAACTTATGATGGCTTATTACTATTAAATGAACAATATTTTATTATGCCTTTGATAGAGTGCTGATATAAAAACTGTTTATACAGATAGGATTAGATGGCTCTGATACCAATTTAAAAGTACGTCAAGTGGAATTAAACGAATTTAACATAATATTAAATGAGACAAATAAAATAAAAAATTAACACAAAGATATAATTTCTATCTATTTAACCATCATCATAATATTTGTTTTTTCGATTATCAATTAATTGAGATTCAATACACAACTCCTGATCCGCCTATCCATTCCCATTGGTCATCAGGGCCAGAAGTCCTCATATCGTACACCTTTTCCGTTAGTGTTGCCTCGAGTAAAGTGGCGGACCAAATGGACCCTTAAGCTGCCACTTTACGAGAAAATTGGAACCCTACTCTCTCGCTCAACACCCACCGAGGTACGCTGGAGTTCACTCTCTCCTTGTCCTTCTCGCTGTAAAGAACCCTAATCTCTCTCTGGACAGAGGATAGCAGCTATGCTCATCCATGTCTCGCTTTCTCTCTCTTGGTCTTGGTCTCGGTCTCTTTGTTTCTCTCTGTACAATTTCTGAAACTGCCTTTTGTTCAGCCTCATTTTGTGTTGTCTCTAGATATCATTGAATCTTCTGTACAATTTCTGAGATTGCCTTTGTTCAGCCTCATTTTGTGTTGTCTCTAGATATCATTGAATCTTCGGATGGGTTTGAGTCTCTCTCTAGAACTTTGAGATGATTTTGGTTTATCTCTCGACATTGTGGTTGGTGGTTTCATAGATTTATCGCTAGAAGTTTAACAGGGTTTTTCTCTTAACGTCGGTTTTGTGTTAGAGAATACCCAAATCTAATATACGTTTTTCTGTTAAAGAGATTTTATGGAATATCAATACCCAACTTTAACAGGGTCATATTGGTTTGTTCTACTCATTTAACTGCAGAATCATTCACAGGTTTTTTGTTTAGTTTCTTATTTTTTTCTTCAAATTTTCTGCATTTTTGGTCTTTTACCATGAATGGCATGTTCGTATTGGTTATTTTCTTTTTTTTTTCTGCACTGTGTTGTGAGGTGCGATGCTTTTTTGCCTCTTTTTGAGGTTCTGTTCATTTGTCTCTTTTGAGGTGCTGTTCATTTGCCTCTTTTGAGGTGCTGTTCATTTGCCTCTTTTGTGGTGCTGTTCATTTGCCTCTTTTGAGGTGCCATTATTTTTTTGATGTTTTTTGCGTGGAATTCAAATATGTTTGGGTGTGATTTGATTCTGAATTTTCATGATCTGCTAATAGTTGGCGACCTCGTTGATCTGTTATTCATCTGTTTATTGTTGTTTGCTTTGCTATTGATGTAATTTTTCTCATCTTAAGATTCTTCCATGAATATTTTATTCAGTTTATCCATGATTTATTCATCATTAGTGCTTATTTTTTCTTATGCATTTTTTTTGAAATTTCTTCCTCGGATAAGTTGATCAGTAAATTATTTTGTTCCATATTTTTTTTTTGCAAATTATTGCTATTGTCATGTAGGATTGTTATGGGTGGACTCTGTGGTTCAAATGAGTGGTTGGATTGAAATTTGTCCTCCTTTGGTTTGGTTTTCCAGGATAAATTATTGTGTTACTTTCATTCTTTGGATTAGAGTCAGTGTTTTGCTTCAAATCAATGAAATACATAATGAATAGTTAGAACAAGTTGTTTCCTGCTTTCCTACTACCAAACAAGTGAAAATAGCAGCTCCATAGTTTATCAAACAAGGTTCCCACCTTTCAGGCTACCAATTTTCACTTTCTTCCTAGATTTCGGGAAAGTCAGCAGCAGTGAGAATCCTAGGGAAACTGAGAGAAATTCACCAAACGCATCCTTATCGAAGCAAATAAGATCTGTGAAGTCCCCACATTATCCGTTGGAGCGCACAAAGTTTTAGGGTTTTGTAAAGCTCAAAAGTGAGGAAAATTTTTCAGTTTTGTAGAGCCCAAGATTTCTGGATTATGGGTTGGAAGGCTGCTCAAAAGCTCATCCAGAACTGGAAAATCATAAGAGGTGACAATGTATGAAAAAAATGAATTCTTTCAAATTTTCCCTGTTTAGAGAATTTTTAGCCATTTTCTCAAAGATTTTTTATCTGAATGTTATTCCTGATTCGTATTTTTTGATCGTTTTAGGTTATGATAATCAGGGGCAAAGATAGAGGTGAAACAGGCATAATCAAGCGAGTGATTCGATCACAAAATCGTGTTATTGTTGAGGGAAAGAATCTGGTAAAGTTCCCTTTTAAGTTATTTTTTTCATATTTTATTTTTGGTATTCTTTTGTGATAAGTTTCTCGTTTTTTACATTGCATTTTACTCAGTTACTCCCGGTCTTTAGTAGTACTCATTATGAATGCATTTATACTTTGCTCTTTCTACTATCTATATTTGTTTACTTAACCCTAGCTGAGGGGATCTCTTTTGCATTTTCGTAGAATCATTTGATCTTAAAGGGTCCTGTTATATCAAACTGGAAAATTCTGAAAACATTTTTAGGAAATTCTTTTGAGTACGTATGCATGGTTTGAGATAAACTGCCCATTTGCGAAACCGCTTAAACTTATTTAGAGATAAAATTTTCCAGATTGATATATCTTGAAATATAAGATAATTCGAGAATGACTTGAATTCCTACTTTGTCAAAATCTGTGAACATTTGATGCGACTTGGCCACGACTGCGCTAATGGCCTACTTGCCATCCATTCCAATGAATTTGAATGGGCGGCGGAGATTTAAAATTGTGCTTAATTTGCAGGCTTCTGTATGTTTACTTTTCTTTTCCTCTCTCTCTCTCTCTCTCTCTCTCTACTCTACTCTACTACCTACCACCTACCTCCTCCCTCCCTACTTCTACGACTACTACTACTACTACGTCGTACTACCTTACCTAATTAACGTAAGTAAACGTAAACTAACTAAACTTAAAAAGTTAAAAGTTAAATTAAAACTTAAA